AGATGAAGAAACTGAACTTTCTACAGAAAAGAGGTGAAGAAGCTGAACATTATGCTAAAAAGATGAAGAAACTGAACTTTCTACAGAAAAGAGGTAAAGAAGCAGAACTTTCTGCTAAAAAGATGAAGAAACTGAAAATTCTTCCTAAAATGGGTGAAGAAGCTGAAGTTTGTGCTGAAAAGAGGTTAAAAAGTTAAACTGTGTGCTGAAAAGAAATGTTGGCAAGCTGAACTGTCTGCTGAAGACAGTTGTAGAAGCTGCTGAAGTCTGAATTGTAATGAATTAGCAAAAATATTAAACAAGCAACACATTCAGCTGAAGAAAAGCTGCACAAGCTGAAGTTACGTAAGCTTTAACTGTCTGCTGAAAACATGTTGCCATGGGCGAGATTCGAACCCGGTTCGCCTGCTCTGACAACGGCTGCTTATCTCACTGAACTAAAGCAAGGGTCATGCTGGGGAGCTAAACTTTTAATGTGGTCCATTAATTTCAATGAGCCTAGTCTAAAAAGATTAGAGATGAATAGAAACTAAAGTGGCACTTGAATACCGTGAAATATTTGAGCGTAACCTTGACAAAATCATTATCTGCTATGTTTCACACCAACTACAATCAGGTGGAGGGTAACATAAAAAAAGTCAACAGCACCTACAAATTTTTACTCTAGAATTCAAATAATAAAGATGAACGTTCTCCCAAGATTGCTATACATGTATCAATCACTCCCACTTCCTATACCTCAAAGTAAATTTAAAATATGGGACAAGATGATCTCAAGGTTTATATGGGATGGGAAGAACCCCAGAACAAGGTTAACAACATTGCAACTCCCGAAGTGTAAGGGAGGGATGGCTTTGCCTAACCTAAGGGAATACTTTTACGCAGCCCAATTTAATCAATCCAATTTAACCGAAATCATAAAAACATTACATAATTGTAATAAATTAGCAGACATGTCGATCAAGCAAAACAGTCAGCTGAAAAAACAGCACAAGCTGAAGTTCCGTCAGCTTGTGCTGTCTGCTGAAAACACGTTGCCATGGGCAAGATTCAAACTGCCATCCAGCTCTGAGAATGGCTGGTCATCTCAATGAGGTAAAGAAGGCTCATGTCAGAGAGCTAAATCGCTGATCGCACTTGTAATGTGGTCCATTCATTTCAATAGGGTAAAAAAAATTGCATACAAAGCTTAATATTTCAAAAAGTATAACAGTTATGAGCAGCAAAAGATATAGCAGGAATTAGCAGAAAAACCTAAAAAAAAAATTAGGTGACAAGAGCTGAAAACTTTCTGCAGAAAAGAGGTGAAGGAGCTGAATTTGTGCTCAAAACAGGTGAAGAAGCTGAACATTCCAGTGAAAAGAGGCAAAAAAGCTAAAATGGATATTAGAAAATTTGCTGAAATCATAAAAACATTGCAAAATTGTAATTACTTGGCAGAAATAATTAGGCTGCACAACCTAAAGTTCTGCCAGCTTGAAGTATCTGCTGAAAACATGTTGCCATGGGTGAGATTTGAACCCTGGCCTCCTGCTTTGAGAACGGCAACTCATCTCACTGAGCTAAAACACAGCTCATCTAAAACCAGTGATCACACTTGTAATGTGGTTCCATGCATCTAAATGGGCCAAAAAAAATGTCATAAAAGCTTAATATTTCAAAAAGTATAAAAGATATGCACACTGAAAGATATAGCAGGCATTAGCAGAAAGAGCAGAAAAACTGAGGCAGTAGTTAACCAGCAAAGAAACGGAGCAACTAGATTAATAAGGTAGAAGAATACAGTTTAAAGAGAAACAGGATCACAATAGTGCGCCTCAGGCATTCACACAATTAAAGCTGGTTCTGCACTCTCTGTGATGATCTGATGGTGGCTGTTGGGACTGACTTTAAACCATCTGATGGAGTATGTCTCCATCTAGTGGAGAGACACGTAATTACAGGTGGAGAACAACAATCTTATTTTGGCAGCTGGATTCACAAACACAGACATGAAACACGCAACAAAAAAA